GCTCCTTTTTGTTCACTTGCTCAGTTGCTCTCTTGCTGTTTTTGGCACAAAAAGTTTTTTTTTACTTTTAGGATGCATTTTGCATACGGTTTTACAGACAATGAGCTGTTTTCTCAGAGCCAGTGAAAAATTTAAGGACAGAACAAGTGAGCAAACTGAGTGAGTTGACTCATTAAGAAAAAAAGAACAAGTGAACATGTTCACACAAAAGAGCAGTTTTTATCCAACACTAATGGCTAGATGGACTCGGCTATTGATGCTGATATATACTTTATGTGGTCGGAAACGTCTCCTTCACTGCGTTGCAAACATCTGACTGAAATTATAATACCCTCTGCAAGGGTATAAAAAAAACGTAAAAAAATGTTGTTTCATATGAAGTATTTTTTTGGTTTGGACGACTTTTTGTTGGGTTGAGTACTAGCCCTAAGCTGTTAAATTGCTGAAATTTCTGAAATTTCAACCCTAAATAAAATAAACGTAGGGACTTTAACAATTCAATTCATAAACATGCACATCGACAGCAGAAGGAATGGCCCAATTATTTTGTTTCAAAATAACGCGATAGCTGTTCGTGACACGGAGAAAATCGCGACCAATGCTCATCTCTAGACCCATCTGAATGACAAATCGCGAAGAAGAAGCATTCTAACCTTACAGCATTGATTTTCGCCAGCGTATTTTCCAAAGAAGATTGTGAAAATGTTCCAAAACAGCGCTGCCCGCCTCCTGGTCCCTGCTATCCGTAGCGCCATGCAGAGCCGCTGCCAGTCGGTCGTTTCTGGACCACCAACCCAGCACGTCTCCACCGCCGTAAGTTTCAGCTGGTTGCATAACGAGGATGTGAAGTCCCAGTTGTTAATAGCCGATTGTTAAATTTGATTTGCATTACAGGAGAAGGTGATCCTTGGCGGCGGCATGTGCGCTGCGTCCCTGTTCATTCCCGCATGGGTGCTCTACCACATCCGGGACTACAAGGGCGACAAGTAATCTGGATTCGTAACCGCACATAGTTAATACCCTGTAAAGTAAAGAGTGTCAATACAAAAATAGTGGCCCTGGAGTGGGGAAATAAACTATAATGAATTGAGCCACGAAATGATTTTTGATTCTTCGTCGCTTAGGCAGACCATTAAATTGTGAAGGGACTATTATGATCGTCATAAATCATAGATCGATTGTACATAATGAAGTTTGAAAGATTATAGAACTGCAATCTTTTAAAATTACTAGGATAAAAGCCCGAAACGTCAGCGGAAATTAAAAATATATTTCTTTCAATTACAGTTTTTGTCTAATTGAATGTTCCTTTAATTATCAAAAAACTACTTTAAATTTACTAAATTAATTATAAAAGTCAAAGACTACAGCGTCCACGTTAATGATTTTGAAAATAACAATTTACAATAGAATTTATACCCGCAAGACTGCCCATTCCAAGAATTATTAAATTTAAAAGAGACACCCTCAGAGATAATTCAGTCAGCAGCATATTATGTGTATTTCTTTATATATTTTCACTTGAAGCATAATTTGAAAGGGGCTACAAATGATTTAATGGGCATACAAATGCTTTAAACGACCTTATAAGATATAATCATAGATGCGATTTACTTTTTCTGCGAGTCCTTGCCGTCGCCCTTTTTGTCCTTGTCCTTGTTTAGCGAACCCACAGCGTCGCGCACTGCCTCCGACTGGGGATCAACCCCAGGAAGGTTCTCCAACACGCTCTGCAAGAAGGCCGGGTCGCCGATCACCTCCGAGTAGTCCTCGTCCACCTCCATGGGGGCATTGGCCTCGTCCGTCTTGGGGCGCTTCGCTTGCTGGGTGACGGTGTCGTCGGGTGCATCCTGCATGGACATCTGCATGGCAAAGGCGATCTGTTCCTCCTCAGTCATGTTGGCGAAGTCCGGCAAGTTGTCCTCGGGTGTTTCGGTGGACAGGGCCAAGGCGCGCTGCAGCATGGCCTCCTCGGTGTTGGCCTCGTTGTCTGCTCCGACACTCTCCACGTTGCCAGGTCCAGAACCCGAGCCACCGCCCCCGCCGCCTGCATCTCCGCCAGTCGGTGCAGCTCCATCGGGGTTGGCGCGACGTTGCTCGCTCTCCTGGCGCTGGCGCTGCTCCTCCATGGACACACGCAAGGCGAGAGCCAGTTCGGGGTCCTCGTTGGGATCTACCCCGAATTCGAACACATTTCCGCCCAGGCCAGCACCGCCCAAGCCGTCTTCGCCCAGGATAATGGGTGACGAGAGCAGTGCATCCGACAAGGCGGATCCGCGAGGCACACTAACGAGGTGGGATCCAGTGCCATCCTTGCCGTTCAGGGCATTGATGAACGCGGTGAGCGTCTCGTTGTTGTTGCCGTGATCGCCGAAACTAACGATGTCCACATTGACCTTCTCCTTTTTGAGGCGCTTGGCCTGCTTCACCAAGTCACCCTCCTCGTGATTGATGGGCGATCCCACAAAGACGACGATGCGCATCTTGTGGTTTTTTCCCTGGCGATGCTTCAGCACCAGGTGCGCAATTCGGATTCCAGTCAGGAGATTTATCTCTCCCTTCGGCTGGATCAGATGCATTTTCGAAAAGATCCGGCCCACATCGCTGGTGAGGGTGGCCAGGACTTCCACGGTGCTGCAGGACAAGCAAAGAGACAAGGAGAATTAGGGATACGCCACAGGGAGCTCGACACTCACTTGGATAGAGTCATTAGGCCAACATTGTTCTCGGGATTCGATCGCAGCTTAGTGAGGCAGACCAGGTTGATGCCATCCTTCTGTACGTTCAGACGGGTTGGAAAGTAGTCTCCGTTGCGCTGATAGTCGCTGTTATCAAAGCTGAAAAGACCCGGATTATTATTGCTAGAACGTTGCGATGGCGCACCAGTGCGGAAAAACTTGCAAAATCTACCCGCATTCTCTAAAAAACAATAATTTACCATATCATAGTACTCTCCAGAACCATTTTCGTATTTTTGCTTGTCACTTTGCCACTGAACTGTAATTTCCCAGGGTTGCCAGGTTGTCGTGCGTGAGCTATCGGTATTAAAATGGCAGTTCTGTATGACCGTTGCAAGGGATTTTTGTACCGTTCCATGATACTTAAAAAAATAATTTAAATCTAACTAAATAAACTAAATAAACTAAATATATTTTATACCCGAATTCAGCGGTAAGCGATTTCTGTGGCACCTCCGATATATTAAATTTTATAAACTTTAAGTTTCCAAAACGTTTCTCATCTTATTATAGTGCATTTGCGGAACGGTGGAAATTGGAACTTGAGGACTTTTTATATACAGGGGTGTCACAGAAATCTCTTCCAACCGAAGACGGTTGGATTTTGCATTGATGCACGTAAGAACTTTAACGGATTTCGGTTGGAAATAATTTCTGTGACACCCCCGATATTTTTTATATGTTCTCGCTGTTTGGTCACCGAATTAAAAAAAAGCAACTTAACCAAACATTTATTTATTTATTAATTAATATACATTTTTATAAATCCAAAACAAAAGTCAAAGAATAGCCTTTCAGAAACTAATAGGAAATTCTAAATTTACCTATATTTCACACATTATTTACACTAGTTTACAAAATAATATTCTTGGTGTGCTCCCGAGCAATTGATGGCAAATTCTGTTAGTGTTGGACCCCTAGATCACAAAAATAGCAATTATTTTTTTTTCGATGGCACAGTTTTTTTTTAAAGATTTTTTAAAGTTCGAAATGTTAAATTTCGGACTTTTTTCGAATTTCTTCTTATATCTCGGCAGATATCCACTTGGTTGAGCCAGTTTTAGTTTTATTTTAAAGTCAATAGATCAGAGCTTAACTTTGCCATACAGATCAATATGATTGGATGAGTAATGGCAGCGCAGAAGCTTGACAAAGATGAAAAATGTGTTTTTTGGTCGTCTGTAAGTCGGCTGTATATATCGTAAAAACTCGAAATAAATCCGTTGAAAAATCATAATGGGTACAAACTTAAAGTGTACATCCTATCGAATAGAACAAGCTGGATATGGCCCAAATCCATGGAAAACTGGATTTATGGTAGATTTTTAAAGTTCGGATTTTTCCACTTTTTTCGGTTGACAGAGTCCAAATTTAAGATTTATCATAGGCGGCGTCATGTAAACAAAAATGAGTGGTGACGGCAGCCGGATCAAAAAAAAGCTAAATTTAAAAGCTAGAAAATTATAAAATAAATTTAATTTCTGAAAATTCCTTTAAAAATATAAAATTGCTTGCGTTATGACTGTGAGTATTTTTAATTAAGTACTATCCATTTGGATAGTTCATTCTTATGAAAAAAGTAACCTTAATTTCAAAAATTAAATTCACTTTAATAATTTTCTAGCTTTTAAATATCTGATTTAGCTATTTAGTGACCCGGCTGCCAACACCAATTATTTTTGTTTACATGTCGCCGCCTATGATAAATCTTAAATTTGGACTCTGTCAACCGAAAAAAGTGGAAAAATCCGAACTTTAAAAATCCACCATAAATCCAGTTTTCCATGGATTTGGGCCATATCCAGCTTGTTCTATTCGGTAGGATGTAAACTTTAAGCTTGTACCCATTATGATTTTTCAACGGATTTATTTCGAGTTTTTACGATATATACAGCCGACTTACAGACGACCAAAAAACACATTTTTCATCTTTGTCAAGCCTCTGCGCTGCCATTACTCATCCAATCATATTAATCTGTATAGCAAAGTTAAGCTCTGATCTATTGACTTTAAAATAAAACTAAAACTGGCTCAACCAAGTGGATATCTGCCGAGATATAAGAAGAAATTCGAAAAAAGTCCGAAATTTAACATTTCAAACTTTAAAAAATCTTTAAAAAAAAACTGTGCCATCGAAAAAAAAATTAGTGCTATTTTCGTGATCTAGGGGTCTAAAACTAACAGAATTTGCCATCAATTGCTGGGGAGCATTTCGGCTGTAAACTAGTGTTATTTATGACAAAATTGCTGTTTACTGTTTATTCAAAACAGTAAGAGAAGCAACAGGGTTAAAATATAGATTATTATGTATATTATCTCGGCAATGAAAATTACACTAAATCCAATCATTAAGCTCATTATGCCACCAGTTAAGGCTGAAATCGAAAAGTCAAAATATAAAATAACCCAAATAATTTTTAAATCAAGATGTACTATACCCATATATTCAGTTGGTCCGGTGTACGATGTTCTTACGCTGCTTCTGAAATAGTTGTCGGTGTGAAAGAAGTTTACTACGGCCAAGTTTTTTCGTATGTAATCACTTGACAAGTTCTTGAAATAATTGCTCTGGGCTTTAACCTTCTTTTGGCTCAATGGTGTCGTAAAAGCATCGGGAAAGAAAATTAAATCGTGGCAGCTGGTTAGGCAATGCTCCTTGCACTGCGAGGTCTTTACGTCGAAATTCTGTGACTCCGCGCCATTCAGACATTCAAAGTGATTCACATCGCAAATTGAAGCGTTTGGATTAACTAGAGGCAAGTAATAAGGAATACAATTACAGGCTCTCAGAAAGAACGAGGAGTCGCACTCTGCTTCACAGTTTCGGCGCGTATAATAGCGGTAAAAGAGTAGTTCTTGTTCGTCGCTAAAAATACATTGACGCTTTGTTCTGTGAATATTCCTTATAGTAGGTAGCGCTTCGAAGCTCCTAGCTATAATGCGAAAACTGGTTTGGTGCCCAATCATCACAGGTAATCCCGACTCCTTCATGCGCGGCTGGTCAATCGGATTATACAGGAGAACCTTGAAAAGTATTTATAAGTAAGCAGACTAAATGTGTTACAAAATTACAAACTTTAAACCCCTGACCATTTGTAGAAGAGCAAAAGTAATCCTTAACATGACCGTTGAGAATAATTTGCAGACCCATGGCAGTACCAACTCCAACTCCCGGACGGGGATAATAACTTGACGGCAATCTCTGTGGATAGCCAGAAATTGGATCCCAGTCTACGGCAATATCTGCGAACCTATCCGACGAAGTGTAGTCCCGAATATAGGGGGACCTTCAAAATAAATAAATGTGTGTATATTTTTGTTGGCTTTTCTTAAAAAAAACTCACTTGAATTTGTAAAGATAATAGGGATGCAAAAAATTAAATATGCAGCACAAACCTTGTCGTCGATTGAGAATGAGTTCCATGTTACGAGCGAACCGGTAGAACCACACATCCTGTCTGAGGAAGAGAAAACACAGTTGGAGTTAGTGCAGGATAAGTTTCTAACTTACGAAAGACACGGCATGGGACTGACGGAATTGGAAACGCATTCCATACAACTGGAGGCAGGAACAGTCCCAGTAAAGGAAAGGTTCTATCCGGTGTCACCAAAAGTCCAGGAATTGCTCTATGCGGAAGTAGACGAAATGTTGCGATTAGGTGTAATCGAGACTAGTGAAAGCCCTTGGAACAATAGAGTTACTCTGGTCCAAAAACCTGGGAAAAACCGGTTATGCTTAGATGCGAGGAAACTCAATAAGGTAACGATCAAGGATGCTTACCCATTGCAGAATATAGAGTCGATTCTGAGCCGAGTGGATGAAACCATTTACATTAGCAGTGTGGATTTAAAGCATGCGTTCTGGCAAATTGAGCTGGACCAAAAAAGTAGGGAGTACACTGCATTCACCATCCCGGGAAGGCCGTTGTATCAATTTCGGAGGATGCCGTTTGGTTTATGTAACGCTGCTCAACGGCTATGTCGACTCATGGACCGGGTCATCCCTCAGAAGCTCAGGAGCAACGTCTTTGTGTACCTAGACGATCTGTTGATTATTTCGAAAACGTTCAAGGATCATATGCGGATACTTACCGAGGTTGCCAAGAGCTTACAGAACGCCAACCTCACGATCGGGCTACACAAATCCAAGTTCTGCTTCCGATTCCTTAAGTATCTGGGTTTTGTAATCGGAGAGGGCTCCTTGAGGACAGATCCGGGGAAGATTCAGGCAATAGCCAAGATCCCAGTGCCAAAGAATGTGAGACAGTTGAGGAGTTTCCTAGGAACAGCTGGATGGTACAGGCGGTTCATTCGAGGTTTTTCAGATGTATCGGCGCCTCTAACGGACTGTTTGAAGTCAAAGACGAAGTTCAAGTGGACACCTGCAGCAGAAGAGGGATTTAACAAACTAAAAACAGCACTCACCTCAGCTCCAGTGCTGATACATCCAGATTTTCAGAGCAGATTCTTCGTCCAATGCGACGCGAGCCATGTGGGTATTGGTGCGGTTCTCTTTCAAAAGGATGTGGATGGAAATGAGAGACCGATAGCGTTTTACTCTCAGAAGCTGCGAGGAGCTCAATTGAACTATACGGTGACAGAAAAAGAGTGCTTAGCCGCAGTGAAAGCTGTGAATAGATTTCGCCCATATATAGAACTCTTACCCTTCACAGTCATCACCGATCATTCCAGTCTTCAATGGCTCATGACGCTAAAAGACCTAAACGGACGATTGGCGCGGTGGTCGTTGGCGTTACAGGCATATGATTTCCAAATAGAGCACCGGAAGGGGAAAGATAACGTGGTGGCAGACATGTTGTCCCGTATCCCGGAGGTAGAAGCCATTGAGGTGTTCGATTTTGAAACCATTGAATTCGAAAGTCCCGAGTATCTGGAAAGAATCCAAACGGTGAAGGAAAATTCGGAGCAATTTCCAGATTTAGTGGTGGAAGACGGCCTCTTGCTCAAGCGAGTAGAATTTGTGACCGGGGACACACAGGAATTTCCGTGGAAGCTGTGGATTCCGGAAGCATTAACGAATACCTTAATCCAGCAAGCACACGACAGCGATACCGCGATGCACGGAGGCATAGGTCGCACGCTTAACAGGCTTAGGCAGTTCTACTACTGGCCCAAGATGGCAATCCAGGTGAAAAACTATGTAAAAGACTGCAACATCTGCAAGGAAACCAAACACACAACCCAGATGACTAGGCCGAAAATGGGCAAACAAACAATCACCTCACGACCCATGCAGCAGCTGTATATGGATTTCCTGGGAAAATATCCACGGTCGAAAAGGGGCAACTGCTACATATTGGTAGTGCTGGATCATCTGACGAAGTTTGTTTGGTTAAAAGCAATGCCAAAAGCGACAGCAGACGCAGTCGTCAGATATCTGGAGTCGGAAATATGGCATGAGTTTGGTGTTCCAGAGATTATACTCACCGACAACGGAGTCCAATTTGTAGCAAGCCGGTTTCAAAGTTTCCTGGAGAAGTATCAAATTCGTCATAAGAGGACCGGCAGGTATGCTCCACAGTCGAATGCCTCAGAGCGCGTGAACCAATCCGTACTTGCGGCTATTAGGATCCATGTAGGGGAAGACCACACACGTTGGGATGACAAGATAGTCGAGATTCAAGGTTCTCTGCGAAGTGCCGTCCACAATAGCACTGGTGTCTCCCCATACTTTGCCATGTTTGGCCAACACATGTTCCTGAGCGGGCAGGATTATAGGATAGCCCGAAAACTAGACGCCGTAAACGACGCCCAGATACAGAGTCTATCTCGAACGGATCGGCTTCAACTAATAAGAGAAAAGGTAACAGAACGCATTAATGAAACATATGAGAGATCAGCCAAACAATATAATAGAAGAGCTAAAGAAATCAAGTACCTACCTGGCCAAGAAATCTTTAAGCGAAACTTCATCCTCAGCGATTTCAAGAACAACATAAATGCCAAGTTTTGTCGCAAATACTCTAAGTGCCGCATAGTAAGACCCGTAGGGAATAACCTATATGAGCTGGAAACATTACAAGGGAAACGATTGGGAGTATTTCATGCGAAAGATTTGAAACAATAATTGCAGCATAGGTACATACACACGTGCAAATACGTACCCAATTAATGGCCCGGCTAACCCTTTCAAAGCGGCAGGACGAATATATCTCAGGGCGTGGGCGTGGCCTGCGTTGGGCTACTGGCAGCCTCAATTGCACTCCTGTTCCATTGACAAGTAAACGAAACCGTAGTGTGGTGTTATGGTCTGCCAAAAATAAAGAAAATAAACCTATACAAAATCAAAACATACCAAACGACCGCGTACCTGGGTTAGAGAGGAGCAACAGATGCCGATACTAGGGATGGCCTGGGAATGGAGAACTGGTTCCGGAGTCGTGCTGGTTCGTGGCGGAACTAGTAGAATAGTGGGCTTAAGCTAGGTTTAAATTTCGGAAAACTCTCTCTCGAAAATGCAATTGAGCCGACTTACAAGAAGGGCAACTAAAGGGCAAATGAGAACCATCTAGAAGCTGAGAAAGAGTAGTCGTGTCTCTGGGAAAAATTTCCAAACTTCCGGCGCCAAATTCGAAATCTGGGAGTCTGCGAGGAAAGGAAGAAAACTGAGAGAAAACGAGTGGAAATTTGAGTATCGCCGCCCACATCTGGGTGGTGCCAGGTTTTTTTATTTTAAGTTTAGTTTTAAAGTTAATAAAACCACGATTAATCAACTATAACCACCAACTACAAACTACAAACTACAAACTACGAACCTACTTCTACTAAATTAAAATACTAATGTAACCCTATATATATATATATTATTTATTCATTTATTTATACGTATAACTATTTATTCATGTGTGATGTAATCGTCCCTGTGGTACCCAGGTTAGGGAATTGTGAAGTTAAATGAATGTTATTTATATGAATTTTGTGAATTAAAAGGGAAAAGAAAATGAGCGAGTAGAGTGTTAAAATGGGGTGAGGTGACGCAAAACAGACCCAGTATCCAGTGTCGGGGAGTTGCTTAAAAGAGGCAGCAGCTCAAGGATGGGAGGGCATATTCCGCGGCCATCAACAGCAGGTCCGCAGTCCTTGTTTCCTTTCATTTTTAAAGTTGTCATCAAGTCTGAAGAAAATAAATTATTACTGTGTGCCGACAAATCCAACTATCGAGGTCATACTCACACTTGAGAAATCCGATTGCTAGCCGGAATCCGATGGTTGGATCACCAAAATAAGTCGAGACATAACAGAGTGGCGCCCAAAGAAAACATAATAAAAAGACAGAAAAAAAGAAAAGAAAGAGAATCTCCGGCTGGTCCTCGACAACTGGTGGTGGTCCTGCATAATTGCTACCAAGAGCAAATCGTAGAAGTCCCACTAAGAGGCGAGAGACGCAGCCACGTAGGATGATCGCTGAGATGCCCACGACCGGGACCCCGACAGGAGGCAGAAATATCCTGGTTCGGCGCGGCCCATCAAGGGCGTCGGAAGAAGAAGTCTATGAACACCTATAAAGACGGCGAAAAGTGAGAATCAACCAAAAGGAGATCAGGTTCGGTAGCTTACAACATCCAGCGGTCGTGGTCCTTGTGGAAAAGGTTGCGGAAAGCAACACACATGTAGTCCGGCCAAAGAAGGTGAAAGCTGCTGAAAAGAAACAAGAAGGATTAGGAATATGAAAGTACAGTGGGCTGGGTAAAATATTCGTCACTCACCCTACCTAGCAGACAAAAGAGAAAATCAGAAAAGTTAAGAAAAAGAAGGGAAGAAAAGATATGTCAGAAAGCGAAAGAAACAGGCAGACATTCAATAGAAAAATTAGAAGAAGTTTAGAGTTTTTTTTGAACCGCGGATCCGAAATAATGACTCCGCCAGCTACACGTTCCCAAGCCAATCAGAAAGTGAACCGAGACATAAAGGATATCACTCCTCCCCAGGGGTTTATGATGGATGGTAGCGCAGCCTTTGAGATCAGCGACCAGCAGGATATGACGGGAGCAGTGGGGGGCGTGGAAGCACATATTAGCGACGGAGTTCCCCGCGGCGACCAACACAATCTCACTAGCGATGAGGAAGGGAAGAGTCCTGTGCATTTAGGTAAAGAAATAGAGTCAGCCATTAATTTAGCTCTATTACAAGCTCATGAAACTTACCGTAAAGCGGCGTCCATTGAGGTCTCTGCTTTCCAGAAGCAAATGCAACAGGAGATGATGAATTTCATGAAGGAAATCAATCAGATCGTCCGCCCTACAGGGAAGGCACAGGCAGACACTCAAGAGCCTCCTCCTAGACCATCGATGGAAGCAGCCAGGCCTAATCCAGCGCAGCAGCGAGCTGATGGCAGACTCTGGGAAGAGCAACAGAGGGTATGGGCGGGTTGGCAT